TTTGAACAGATTTTAGCCGCCCCGATGTGAGCAGTTTTTTTTTATTTTGTTCTCGTTCTGTCAACTAAATGTATTTTAATCATATTGATCAAATTGTTTGTTAGTAATGTTCTCTGTTCTCTTTTTTCATTTTCAGTCATTTGCATTGATTTTTTTTTCACTGATAGTAACTTCTTTTACCAATGATGGTAATGACAAGACCAATGCGGTGATTATCAACAAATGAGCTTTGTTTATAATTGACAGGAAAAATAACAATGTACATTGGTCCTTTGGCGACGAATGTCTTTTTCTAGACTATTTTTGTATATGATTCTGAATATAAAACAGTTCCATGAGCAAAATTAGCTAATTATTTTTTTGGTAATAATCCGCTCCTTTCTTCTGTAACCTCAAGCTTTTACCCAATATTTCATACATAAAATGTATTTTGACGCTCTCTGATGCTTTTTAATTGCTTGCAGGCCGTCTGGGGCCGTCTGGGCCAGTTAAAGTGATTAAGGGTGTTTTGTTGCGTGAATGTCAGCAACATTAACCCAAGCCGGAAAAAAGCGAAAAACATGGCATGCAGTTGTTAACATGGCATGCAATTCTTAATTCCAAATGAGTTAAAGACTTAATTCGCAACGTGAAACTTAAAATTTGGGTTTTTATTAACCTTTGAAATATAATATTTGAAAATTATGAGTCTGAAATCTGTATTCAATTAAGACAATGCTAAACTCCCACCTACCTAACCCCCTCCATGAGTCCCTCAGTTGTATGTTGTTCTGTGTTTTAGTGGAGGGTCGCCAGCTGGCCCTGGACATCCCACACACCCTACTGATCAGCATTGTCATCTACATATCCGTATTCGATGTCATCATCAGCATGATCCTAACCACAGTCTTCGAGGTAGGCTTCATACATAAACACGCTATACTTCCATCTGCGTATCAATTACTCGTTAATCTCTAAAAGCCGTTTTTTCTTGTTTTTAAAAAGATTTTTATCAGACTAACAAATTTGTTCAGCTTAGTATCTTAAGAGATGAGTTGCGTTTTGCAGCTTAAAAAATTGTAAACAATAATCGCCCAAGGCGAGGTTTTAGACTTGTGCTGCGAGAGAAAGGATCAAAAGTGTGGTGCGAGAGGGGGAAAAATTGTTCGAAACAGATGAGCTATCTTATCATAGGGGTCGGTTTTTTGGTCATTTCTTGGGGGTCGGTTTTTCGAAAAATTTTGCGGATCTTTTTTTAGGTTGACCAATTTGATTTTCCAAGCTATCCGAAAATACTATAAGGAACTTATTTTGCCAAAAAAACTTCTGCACCGCTGGCAAACTATTCAAAAGATAGGCCAAAAAATTTGGCAAACTGAATAAAGGGGAGGGGGCGGTCGGTGATTGAGAAAAAGACAGATAATTTAAAATAGTTGTCTTTTCCAAAATCAGCAAAGTGGAGAAATAATTGAATGTGTCTCTACCAGGAAATGTGCGGGTTATTTTCTGGTTACTTGACAGGGCTACATGACATGGCGCAACCAGCAGATCACAAAAAAAAACGTTAAAAAAACGACGGTTTTGGCAGAAAGCAACTCAAAAACTACCGTTCGAATGAACAAAATTGACTACAATAAAACAAATGGCACTGTTTGCCAAGAGGACGGTAAGCCCCACCGATTTGTTGCAATATATATATAAAAAAAGTAACACCATCAAGCGAAGAGGACAGTAAATCTCACAAATTTGCCTCACCGCTTGTTCTTTGCAAATTAACACAGAGAAAATAACTTCAAATTTAATTTTTTTTTCAACGAATATCATTTTCACAATTCCAATCATCAATTTATTGCCGAAAACAAATTTCGAGAACTATCTTTTGAAATACTTTGAAAAACACCCAACAGAAAACTCGAAAAGTATTTAGAAAAAAACTATCGCATAAACCAAAAACACTGATTTTTTGCCCCCTGAATACCAGAAAGAGAAAAGCTGTTTATCTCGCGAGAGAAAAACATTGTCTGCTACCAGTGCCGCACGCAAAAATTTTTGGACGTTACGAGCGATGGATCCTGGGCTTTATCTCAGCATAACGAAAAACTTTGATGGATTGCCACGCCGACTTGGGTGTAGCATTTCTGCAACGATAAAAAGCTTTAGAAAATTTGTTGAAATTGGAACAGTTATTTGCGATTGTGAAAATGACAGATAATTTACAATAGTTGTTTTTTCCAAAATCAGCGAAGTGGAGAAATAATTGAATGTGTCTCTACCAGGAAATGTGCGGGTTACTTTCTGGTTACTTAGGGGCTACATGACATGGCGCAACCAGCAGATCACAAGAAAAATGTTTAAAAAAACGACGGTTTTGGCAGAAAGCGACTCAAAAACTATCGTTCGAATGAACAAAATTGACTACTAAAAAACAAATGGCACTGTTTGCCAAGAAGATTGTAAGCCCCACCGGTTTGTTGCCCTATATAAAAAAGCAACACCATCATGCGAAGAGGACAATAAATCTCACAAATTTGCCTCACCGCTTGTTTTTTGCAAATTAACACAGAGAAAACAACTTCAAATGGAATATAGAACATAATAGTGCTTTCAAAAAGGTAATAAACTTAGTGGCGGAAGTCATCGAAAACAAACACTTTGATCAAAGCTTAGAAACAAGAGTAGTTTGCGACGCTTCAACGTTTGATTTGGGGGCGGCATTAGAACAACTCTTGTCAGAGGGTTGGTTTCCCATCTTACGAAGAAAAATATTCAATTTATACGTTGAAAATATTACGGGTAGTTTGGGCCGTAAAGCATTTTAAGCAAAAATCATATGGTAAAATGTTCACAATCATGATGGATCACCTAGCCCTGCTAAGCGCACTGATTGTATCAGGTAAATCAAAAACGGGTCAATCACGACTTGCTCAGTTAAAACACCGCTTAATGCCTTACAGTTTCAAAATAAAACATTTGGTGGGACAAGCAATGGGACTAATTGATTACATTTTACACAACCTAGTCAGCCCGGCGCTACCAGCAAGCAATAATGATGAAGTATTTACAGTTGCAAAATTAAATATATTCATTTGAAAGCTTGAGAATTTTAGATTGCTTAATGGTGATTAACTAGCCAATAGGAGAGGAGCATGGATAGACTGCCTTGAGATCTGATCTAAACAACAGAGAACATGGACATCCCAGAAAAAGCTAAAGTGATACCTGAGTGCTCCAGAAGGGGAATCATACCACAAGAATTAGCTAGAAACATCGAGGCGAGACTAGAAAAACAAGAGCAGAAAAGGAAAGTGAGAGAGATAAGAACAATGGAATCCCTTATACGCAAAGGACGGAATGCGCGAAACTAAAAATCAGCCAATCCGATTTCAGTATTCAAAATTGGGAAGAAAGCGTGAAACTCTCAAACAAACTAAACATTTCCAAAGAAATCATAATATTGACGGAATAAAAAACGGCAGAAAAATGGAAAATTTGCCTATTGTCCCTAGTCGCCGACAATTTGGAACATCTCTGACACTTAAAATGTTTTGTTATACAAGAAAAAAATATCTAAACACCGTATTTATTACAGATGTGTCAATTCTAATTGCAAATCAAAAATAACTAGAAATATTTCTATCAATTTATTGCGCAAAAAAAATTTCGAGAATTATCTTTTGAAATACTTTGAAAAACACCCAACAGAAAACTCGAAAAGTATTTAGAAAAAAACTATCGCATAAACCAAAAACACTGATTTTTTGCCCCCTGAATACCAGAAAGAGAAAAACTGTTTATCTCGCGAGAGAAAAAACTGTCTGCTACCAGTGCCGCAAAAATGTTTGACGTTACAAGTGATGGATCCTGTGCTTTGTCTCAGCACAACGAAAAACTTTGATGTATCGCCACACCGACGTGGGTGAAGCATTTCTGCAACGTGAAAAGCATTAGAAAATTTGTTGAAATTGGAACAGTTATTTGCGATTGAGAAAATGACAGATAATTTACAATAGTTGTTTTTTCCAAAATCAGCAAAAAGGAGAAATAATTGAATTTGTCTCTACCAGGAAATTTGCGGGTTACTGTCTGGTTACTTAGGGGCTACATGACATGGCGCAACCAGCAGATCACAAGAAAAATGTTTAAAAAAACGACGGTTTTGGCAGAAAGCGACTCAAAAACTATCGTTCGAATGAACAAAATTGACTACTAAAAAACAAATGGCACTGTTTGCCAAGGCACTGTTTGCCAAGAACATAATAGTGCTTTCAAAAAGGTAATAAACTTAGTGGCGGAAGTCATCGAAAACAAACACTTTGATCAAAGCTTAGAAACAAGAGTAGTTTGCGACGCTTCAACGTTTGATTTTGGGCGGCATTAGAACAACTCTTGTCAGAGGGTTGGTTTTCCATCTTACGAAGAAAAATATTTAGTTTATACGTTGAAAATATTACGGGTAGTTTGGGCCGTAAAGCATTTTAAGCAAAAATCATATGGTAAAATGTTCACAATCATGATGGATCACCTAGCCCTGCTAAGCGCACTGATTGTATCAGGTAAATCAAAAATGGGTCAATCACGACTTGCTCGGTTAAAACACCGCTTATTGCCTTTCAGTTTCAAAATAAAACATCTAGTGGGACAAGCAATGGGACTAATTGATTACATTTTACACAACCTAGTCAGCCCGGCGCTACCAGCAAGCAATAATGATGAAGTATTTACAGTTGCAAAAATAAATATATTCATTTGAAAGCTTGAGAATTTTAGATTGCTTAATGGTGATTAACTAGCCAATAGGAGACGAGCATGGATAGACTGCCTTGAGATCTGATCTAAACAACAGAGGACATGGACATCCCAGAAAAAGCAAAAGTGATACCTGAGTGCTCCAGAAGGGGAATCATACCACAAGAATTAGCTAGAAACATCGAGGCGAGACTAGAAAAACAAGAGCAGAAAAGGAAAGTGAGAGAGATAAGAACAATGGAATCCCTTATACGCGAAGGACGGAATGCGCGAAACTAACAATCAGCCAATCCGATTTCAGTATTCAAAATTGGGAAGAAAGCGTGAAACTCTCAAACAAACTAAACATTTCCAAAGACTTAATATTAATATTTACCGAATAAAAAAACGGCAGAAAAATGGAAAGTTTGCCTATTGTCCCTAGTCGCCGACAATTTGGAACAGTTCTGATACTTAAAATGTTTCGTTATAGAAGAAAAAAAAATCTAAACACCGTGTTTATTACAGATGTGTCAATTCTGATTGCAAATCTAAAATAACTAGAAATATTTCTATCAATTTATTGCGCAAAACAAATTTCGAGAATTATCTTTTGAAATACTTTGAAAAACACCCAACAGAAAACTCGAAAAATATTTGGAAAAAAACTATCGCATAAACCAAAAACACTGGTTTTTTGCCCCCTGAATACCAGAAAGAGAAAAGCTGTTTATCTCGCGAGAGAAAAATATTGACTGCTACCAGTGCCGCAAAAATTTTCGATGCAAAAATTTTTGATAGAAAAAAAATATCAAAAAAAATCTTAAAACGTGTCAATCACGATTTACTCGGTTAAAACACCGCTTATTGCCTTTCAGTTTCAAAATAAAACATTTGGTGGGACAAGCAATGGGACTTATTGATTACATTTTACACAACTTAGTCAGCCCGGCGCTACCAGCAAGCAATAATGATGAAGTATTTACAGTTGCAAAATTAAATATATTCATTTGAAAGCTTGAGAATTTTGGATTGCATAATGGTGATTAACTAGGCAATAGGAGACGAGCATGGATAGACTGCCTTGAGATCTGATCTAAACAACAGAGAACATGGACATCCCAGAAGAAGCAAAAGTGATACCTGAGTGCTCCAGAAGGGGAATCATACCACAAGAATTAGCTAGAAAC